TTTTTTTTTTTTTTTTTTTTTTTTTTCTATTGGAAATATATTATTCAATTGAGCAGTCATTTGAGTCATATTTATTGAGAGGTGAGCAAGGGAAAACCTAGTCCAGAATTTACATAAGGTATCCTAAAATAGCAAAGACACCCATCTCTCTCCTGATCGAAAAATTAAGATCATAGGGGCAATTAATCCTCCATAGTATTCTCCACATAAAAGTGCTTACGAAAATTTTGCAGGCCGGGCTATATTTGCTTCAGCCCCCGTCCCCCTTTACTTCCTTTTGCTTCTTCCTTTTAAGTGTGTAAACTGCGAGTTCTTTGCTCACTATGATCTTGCAAGTTCCGCTTTCTGGGATAGATAATGTTTTGTTAATTGTTATGATATAATAACCATGAGGTGAATACATGTAATTGTTCTCTCTTTGCTTTTAACAATTTTTAACAAATTTGCATATCCATGGAGATAGACTAAGAAAAAAAACAGTTTTTTTTAGGGCCTCCCCTGGGATAAAAAAAGAAAAAAGAAAAAAAAGAAGAGAGTTTGATTCTCATATTCTTATAGGCCAAATGAATAAATAAAAACTGTAATAATGAGAGAGTAAAGGAAGTACTCCAACATAATACATTCACGGGCTACACAAACATACACACAAACCATTTAGATAAACACACACAAGGCAACAATGTGCAGACAAAGCCGCTGATCCCCCCATAAAAAAAAAAAAAAAAAAAACTGACAATAACAGAATAGGTACAGAAATATTGCTATTTTATACTCCAAGTTGAAGTTTTCTTTGTCAACTTTCTTTTCCACTCACATCTTTCACAGCATTTCAATTTTGCATTGTATTTCAAATCAAATTTTCTATAAATAAGGGCACAATATTTCAAATATTTTAATTAAGGACACAAATTTTTTCCATAATATTAACTTTTTTTCATTTTTTAAAATTTTATAATAAAAGATATGACCTTCTTTAGTAATCAAAGACTCACTTTTTAAAAGTTTTTAATTAAGAATATGACTTTTTTTAGTAAAATTGCAAAGGTCATTTACTTAATTTTTCTTTACAAAAGAAGGATATGACCTTAATTACAAAATTTTAAAATATGGTGGTTTTAATTAACAAAGAAAAAATATTATATTCTTGATTATTATTATTTTTTTAAATTGTGTGCTTATTTATACGAAATCTCCACATATATATAGATGTCTGTGCTATTCAATCAATTAATGTTCAAAAATTTTGACAATAGTATTAGTAAATTTTGCAGAACATTAAGGTATCTATATAGAAGAATTTTAAAATTTTGGGGAAAATATTTACGATCCTAACATGTAAAAAAATTAGACAAAAAAAACACCACAAAACTATATTATTTCAATAAACTTCATTCAAAAAAAAACCTAAGTAATTTTTTTTAAGCCATGAATAAAGACTGCTATTTTAATATTTTCCTCTTGTATTTTACCAAAATGACTTAATTTCATAGTTTTTCAACCTAATTTTTTATTGATACAGGTAATCTTTAAAATTATTACTATTTTAAGATTTAATACTCATGTTCTTCTAACTCATAGACGGCTGGATCGGTAGCCACTAGGGAAGGCAAATAATTCATTTAAGACATATTTGGATAAATCTATCAAGGGATTGGTATGGTTAGTCTTTGAGCAGCTGGATATGCACTTAGATATTTAATGAATAAACTTAAATATGGGGTTGTAATGTGCTAATTCAATGAGAAGTTAAATTTTTTAATCAACAAATGAGAAGTTGACATACTCAAAATAATATAGTGTTTTATTGCTTTCAAACTTCAAAGCAAATGCATAGCTTTCTTGAAGATGATGTGCATTTTTTTAAAGAAATAACCATGTTTTATAGTCCAATAGTATTGCTTATAAATATTACAAAACAATGTAATTATGAAATAAGATTGATATGTATTTTTTTTATATATGTAAAAATTTTTTTATTTATTTTAGACTATATGATGAAAGCAATTCTCTCACATTCTATCTATATACTCATAAGTTAAATTTAACATTTTTATTTTTTTTTAAATTATTACTAAATTATTTAAATATTTTATTATATAAATTTTTTTTATATATAATAACTCATATAATATAATATGTATAAAGTTCGTATGACGTTTCCAATGGAAATATATGAACCCTGCAAAGTGACAAGCGCATAAAACTTGAATGCCTCCCTGTTTTCAGACCCAACACTCCTTGACTTCCTAACCTTCCTTTTGTCTTCACCACAACACTCCTTCTTTCTTTTTTCAGTTTCGTCGAAAATACAATTGCATCTTTTGTCCCACTAACCCTGTTGTTTTTCCCCACAATTAATCCTTAATCATCTCTTTTTCATTCACTCTTTTCTGAGATTTCAACCTAAATATGATCGTCAACTTCAGATTTTGTTTCTGCTGTCCTTCTGAAGAAGATAAAGAAGAAAACACGAGGTAGGATTGATTGATTCAATCCAAAAGTGAGTTATATTCCATGCAAATATTAATCTCTCTGTTTCCCTGAAGTGTGAACAGAAACATCGATTACCCGTGGGAAAGATATTCCCTCAAGGATATCCTCAATGCAACGAACAATTTCCTCATCGATAACAAGATCGGCGAGGGCGGATGTGGAAGTGTTTACTGGGGTCGCACAAGTAAAGGCACCTAGGCAATCATATCCATCTTTTTCCTCTCTCGATAATTTTCCTCTATTTTGAATGCTCTGTTTTTTCAAAACAGGGCTATGAATTTTGATTTTGTTTGATTTATGGTTTTGCAGATTGCGGTTAAGAGGTTGAAGACGATGACTGCGAAGGCGGAGATGGAATTTGCGGTGGAGGTGGAGATACTAGGGAGGGTGAGACACAAGAACTTATTGGGATTAAGAGGATTTTACGCCGGTGGAGATGAAAGATTGATAGTCTACGACTACATGCCAAATCACAGCTTGACTACCCACCTCCACGGCCAACTTGCGGCCGATTGCCTCCTCGATTGGTCCCGGAGAATGAGCATCGCCCTTGGCTCCGCCGAGGGTCTAGCGTAAGCTCCCCACATACCAAACTAATTTCTTTAGAAAATGTAACTCCAGTTGTTGTATTCAGGAATTTTAATGTTTTAATTCTAGCATTAGTTAGAGGTTCGAGCCTCCACGATGTTCAAGCAGTAATTTCTTCCCTGCATTGAAAAGTACATAAATTTCATCTCCATGTTTACAAGTTTATGACTTAGTATTTTTTTCATGTTAACTAAGGTATTTGCATCATGAGGCGAATCCACATATAATTCACAGAGACATTAAAGCGAGTAATGTTCTTTTGGATATAAATTTTCAAGCAAAAGTTGCTGACTTTGGGTTTGCAAAGTTGATACCGGATGGTGTTACTCATTTGACTACTAGAGTAAAGGGGACCTTAGGATATTTGGCACCGGAGTATGCCATGTGGGGGAAAGTTTCCGATAGTTGTGATGTTTATAGTTTTGGGATTTTACTTTTGGAGATAATTAGTGCAAAGAAGCCGTTGGAGAAACTCCCCGGTGGGGTCAAGCGCGACATTGTGCAATGGGTCAGGCCGTATGTCCAAAAGGGTGCCTTTGATCACATTGCAGACCCTAGGCTGAAGGGAAAATTTGATCGAGCTCAATTGAAATCGACAGTGATGATTGCGTTGAGATGTGTCGACGGTGACCCAGATAACCGGCCAACGATGAGAGAAGTCGTGGAATGTCTGAAGGGCGGTGTGGGAAGGAGGAAGAAAGGGATGGGGTATGTGAAAGACATGGTGGGAGAAGAAGACGATGGAGAGAACGGAGATGATACTTATTTTGAGGTATCTAAGAAGGAGGAATATGATTTAAAAAGGACCAAATCACGATCAAAAAGGAAGTGAATGTTGATTTTCATTGTTCTGTATTTTGTAGTGAATTGAAATGTATCTTGTAAGCATTCAACCAGGCTCGGATTGATCATTGATGTCTAATTCTCCTCTTGTTCCTTTCATGTAATTTATTGATATGTTTGTAAATTTGTCCAATCAAGAAAAATCGCGAAGACATTGTCAATAGCTTTCAATGGAATGCACGCTGTGCGCATCATTGGATTGTTGAATGTTGATCTAAGATTCGCCAATTGGCTTTGTATGCATTATTTCTCCTCTTGTCATTGAAAATGGAAAGACTTGCAAATATGTAAGGCAGTAGAGGACTTGCTAATATATAAGGCAGTAGATCGAGTGATAAAAAATTTAGAGAATGAGGTCTATAACTTAGAGGTAGGAGGTTGAAATTTTGTATGTGAAAAAAAATATGATAGAAAATAGAAATTATATTAAAATAAACAAAATTGAGATTATACCTCAATTAATCTTTATGTTACGGTATTTATAACTAAATTAAAGATATATCTTATCACAGTAAATATAAATAATTAAAATAAAAAATTATCTACACTTAAAAATTGCATTTACAATGGATGTATAAGCATAAATAAATTTATTAACATAAAGAAAATTACTACAAATATCTTGAGTTTTTTTTTTTTTTTTGAACTTTTTGTC